AGTTGTCAAAATTGAGATAGTACCGGTTGCCAGTTCACAGTCGATATTTTGTTTAGATTGTTTTAAAATAACGTATTATATGGCATCAATACGACAACGATGTAATAGTTTTTAAAGTGCAAAATTTCAATTATCTTTTGACTATTTAGCATAGGCGAAAGATTCTTATAATAAATCTTTTATATCGTGTATAAATACAGTGCGTCCGAAGCAACAATTTTGCAAAATTTACTACCATCTTTGAAAATGAGCACAAACAATTCTGATTTTTAAATGTTAAGTTTTGTTAAGTGTCATTTCTTTCCTCTGTCACTCACAGCAAGCAATCGCGACGGTTACAAGTATTTATAACCAATTTAGATCATCACCGGTTTCCGTATTGTTGCTTCGAAACAAAACTCCCTGTATATTTTTATTAATATGTAATGTAACAATACTCTTTCTCTTTCATTCGCTAAATATTTATCAATTGAGTGAAAGAGATAGAAATGTCTGAAAGTTGGAGATCATGAGTTATTCTTTCTAATTTGATTGATTGGCGCTTAAAAATTACAAATTCTACAGGTGTAACGAAAAGATGCAATACTTAAGGAATTGAAAGTGTCCATGGCACTGGAACTATTTCCCTCTTACAGGGACGATACATTTGTATGGAATGTTGACAAAAGTTCTTCCCTATCATAGTCGCTTTCATATACCAAAATATTATTGCACCATTTCGTTGCAACTTGTACACAATATACAAGCTGTTTAAAAAAAGTGATAACAATTGAGGAACGTTATTTACTTACTCAAGAGTTCCTAAAGCATTATTTCACTCGTCTGAAACATCAGGTACACGACCTTTGATTCTGTTGCCTGTTTATTTAAAAATAATTGACAGATTTGACAGGCTTCACAACGTCACAACCGGCGGATGGAAAAAAAATGACGCAACGCGTTTATTTTTTTAAATCACCCGGAGAACACTCGTGCCAGCCAAATTATTATTAAAAAACGGGCCACAGAATAGAAGCTTATATTATAAATAGATGTGGGAAATAGATTTTTCATGTGCTTTTTTTTGCAATGTAAGACGAATGATATTAGCTAAGGTAGGTTGTTGGTTTATGTTGGACAAAGTACTTTCAGGATGTAGTCTGTGAGCAGAGTCGGCACTGTCGGGCTGTCTTCGTTTATCGCTTTCAGGACTGCAACAGGGGGAAAACAAACTCAATGATTGAATGATTGATGTTCACCATGACTTACCTCCCGAGACCCGTAAAAAATAATCTTAATTGATTAAATTCTGATGAATAATTCCTTTTAGTAAAATAGTGTACGCATCCATGTCCTATCACACGGTTATTTGTCAAAATTGTGTTATATTTTTTAATTTACTTAGACATAACTGTTTTCGTATACGTGTTTGAGGCAATTAGAATGTTTGTAAAGGTATGATAAGATATAATAAGTAATATCGCAGACGTTAGTAGACCTAATAAATAAATAATCTTGGAAATTCTGGGGGACAGCATAAGTTCAGCACCGGATTGGGCATGCCTCTAGAATCACGAATAAACAACGCCTTCTTGGAGGCCACAAAATTTACTGGTGCCTAAATTAGGAAGAAATTGATACTTACTCTTAATGAGAACCTGTAGAGATTGATTATCCGGCGGCCCGTTGTCCAGGTGGAATGGAATCACTGTGGTCAAGTACTGAAACAAAAACGATCTGTCATTGCTATGACTGAAGCTGCCGCTACGAAAGATGTTGCGACTTTGAGAACTTACTTATCTTTTAGAATAGGAATAAAACGTTGCGAGCTGATAAATGGCAACTAAATATTAAATAAATGTTGAAGCACTTGGCCCGTAAGGTCCCGATGCCCCTCATCTGCACAAAATTTTCTGCAACTAAATTAATAGACTGTCTGGGAAACCCAAGGGCCGGCTACCTTGCTACCTTGCTGGGAACGCTGCCAGGATCTTGGGCACCTTGCCGCGGGGATCCAATTTTATTCATATAATTTAATCCTAGTTTTCCTTTTTAGTATTTAAGCTTTTGTTGTACCTGTATATTAAGAAACTTCAACTTAAATCAAAATTAATATTAGACAACATGACATACGTTCCTCTAATCTAAAAGTAACTAAAGCGCTTGTGTTATGGAAATCGGAAATAACGACTAACAGCCAGACCCCAGACAATATAAAAATATAAAAGGTAGTTTTTGTACATTCACCCGATCGGGAATCGAACCCGAGACCTCAGACACGACGACACCATGAAAACCGGCGTACAAGTCAATAGACCACAGAGGTCGGTAGAACCTACAACAAATTTCAAGTCTTCAGCCAATCTGAAGCACCCATTGCTATTCTATTTAGATGGGCAATAGGCGGTGCGTTACAGAAGTATATATCTACGCTAGCTTTTATACACTATTACAAAAAAAAAAAAACCAATAAATCTACTTGCCTTTGGTTCTGAACTACTGCTGTTCAAATTGGGAGATCTTAGTGGCCCAGGTCGTTTCTTCTTTTCTATATGGTACGCCCGTCGCTTGTTCTGCACGGCCAGTAGCAAGGATATGAAGGTGTTCTTGAGTTCCTTCTCATACTCCAGCTCGTCTCGCAGCGCCAGTTCTGCGATCAGAGTCTCGGAGAACTCACGGATTAACACTTCGAGTTCCGTGAAAATTTCGTTCAGCTGCGAGAGCGGTAGCTGGCGAAGTTCTGAAAATAATTAAGTAGTTTATTTCGAGATGATCACCAACTTCGACTAGTCTAAGAATTGACTCCCCAGGCTGCTGACGTGGCGGACCTTTGGTCTATTATCCCCTTCTTAAAGAAGACCCATTCCAAATGGTCGGACTCAATGTGCGCAAGGAATCTATCTTTTAAAATTACCGCCCAGATTTTGTCAAGCGGAAATCTCAAGTTATGTAATCAAAGAAAAAGAACTTTATTTCAACAATAGATATTTTTACAATTCCGTGTGACGATTCTCACGGAGTAATCTTTATTTTGGACAATCGTGATGATTGTTGCAGCGAACCAAGACGTCGAGTGTGTGACGTCTTATTTATCAACTAACAGTAAGTATAAAGTTGATACAGCATGTGGCTGTACTTTGAAGGCGTACTTATACAGACAAACTACATCTGAATCGCTATTGAAGTAATCATCCAGTTTCTGTACAGTTCGATAACTGATTGGAATGGCTATATCAGGTCGTGTTTACTGCTCTATTGACGGTACCTCTGACGCATGATAACCTCTATAATTAAGATTGCTTACTGTCTTCGTAGAGAGGCTGGCTAAGCACTTCCTTGCCCTTCTCCAAGGCTTCGTTGTACTCGATAAGGTCGCCTTCCGAAGAGGGCGTCTCCTGCATCATGTCGTCTATCTCTTGGATTACCTGCAATTAAAATCAGACATATAAATATAGATTGGATTACATTATGAGGAAAGCACAATTAGGTGCATATTAAACGGTGGCAGAAGGTTGGTCAAAGAAGGTTCACAGTCCTTCCCAAGACCCAACCCTCCTTGGGCCAGAGTGGCGGACTAAACCCTCTCCTTAGAGGAGACCTGTATCCACAAGTGGTGGGAGTGTATTGGGTTTCTGAGCACCAAGATGGTAATGACAACGAAAAAAAATGAATAAACAAAAAATAAGAATGAGGTTCATACTTCGTCGGCAGTCTTGACTGGGCACTCGTGGTCCTGGTGCAAGCCGCCCAAGATAAGCGCGTGCATGTCTAGATCAGAAGAGATGGCCTCGTCTTCCGAGCTGTGGATTTCGTCGTCTGGAGTCATCATACCTCCCTGGAAAACCACGACTTAAATAATAAAATTGTATCTTTTTTACAAAAAAAAAAAAACCGACCCCAAAAGTTCGTGGAATTTCATCTGTTTGCAAAGTTTTATTGAAATCAATTATCGGAAAATACGCGACCCTTAGCAGTGCAATATTTTCTTCATATTTAAATGGGACCAATACCGAGGTACCCTCTTTTCAACAAAAAAGAATCGCCAAATTCGGTTCACAAAAGCACTGCAACTGTTATGGACCAGGCGTGTAGCTTCAATGAGGCGCACGACTTGTTCGTCCCGTCACTTGATATTATAAAATAAATCAATATAACAAATTAGCGAATTGACAAACAATTAGAAAAATGGGGTATTTCAAGAATAGGTCTTTTTAAGAATAAATCCTTTTAAAAATAGGTCCTTTTAAGATTAAGTCTTTGTACGAATATGTCTTAAGTAGAATAGGGTACTTCCCGAATAAGGCATTTTTAGAATGTGGCCTATCACGATTACGTACTTATATGACTATAGGTCATTTTACGAATAGGTCCTATGTTGACTAATCCCCTTTTTTGAAGTTGGTTCAAAATGGAGGATTTTTTAATTTAGGAGAGAAAGGCGGAGCCTTTTTATATTTTATGCTAAAGTGTAGTTTCTTAAGGGACTTAAGAGGTTTAAACTTATTGTTTCTCTTTGAAAAGTACTCAACCGGTCTCTATAGTACATCCAATAGTAAAATTGTTTCACAGATATTGTGAGATAAAAGTAAAAAAAGCTTCATATTATTTTCATAAGCATTTTGTCACATAGTGTTAACTGGCTAAGTACACAATGTTAAGGGCGTCAGACGCGTTGTTTTTACCAATCGTTTATCAACCCGTCAATAATGGTAAGATCTTCTAAGGGGCGCGACTAAAATCAATCCTCGATTTGTCTCAGGCCCACGCCAGTTTCGACGCGGTCGTGTCGAGGCGGGCAGATTGGATATTAGACAATAACCAATTCTAATCGAATAACTTTTTGAATGTACGCAATTATTTGGACAGTTTGGAGTTTGTTTTCCTATGTACTACGTCTTCGGCGAGCTAATTTTCTCAGAATTTAGCTATATCGGAAAAGCGTCAAAGTTGGGTCGCACTTATTTTATATGCGAAGGTTGTGAAGAATCTGGAGGATACCTATATAAGAACTGTCACAAACAAAGATAGCTAAAGTGGTGCAGTTTTCTCCTCTTAAGTATATAAAAGTATTTAATAAAAGCTATGTAAAAAGATGTAAGTTCCGGTCAAATTAACGCACTAAAACTCATATTAGGATGTGTTCAGGAATTATTAGAATGTTATAGGATTAGTGAGTTCTGATGTGCACATGATGAACATAAGCTTTAAACGACAAAGCAGAGGATTTTTAACCAAAAAGAAAAATGGAGGTTCTCAATTCGACAATACTTTGTTGTGTGCATGTTTCGCGATTACTTCGACATTTACAAACCTATTGGAAAGGGTGTACTTCAGTAGTGGTCACATTTAAATTCGGAGAAAATATTCCATCTCTAAGGGTGGTTATTAGGGGATGAATCCGGTATATTGTATTTCACCCACTCGTTAACCGATTTCAATAAAAGTTGGCAAATAGATGAAATTCCACAAACTTTCTTGGTCGGTTTTTTTATGGAAAATTTGCAATTATTGTACAGTCAACAGGACATCAAGCTGTACACTTCTGTTCGAGTATCGCTTTTCGTGCAACGGAACAAGATCCGCCAATGTGTAGCTTGGTAAGCTGACATAAAAACACATGTAAACAAAAGTAGATAAGTATTTTAATACTCAAAAAAATCCATAGATGTTACATCATCACGGTATTAATAGCGAAAAATAACCAAATTGCATTTGTTACATCTATTAATAGGTCGAGGCTGTAGCAAAAGTATGTAATTCTATGAAGTGATGCTTACTCATACATAGCACTATCCAGCGTGTGGTGTGTTCTACATCTAAGATAACCGGATTACACGTTATAAATAATTAAAACTGTTTACATGAATTGTGTACATGTTATAAAAGATGTACTGTGAGTTTGTTCCAACGCAATGTAACTCTATACCAGCCATAGAACGGATGAAAGCTGCGACAAAAGCAAAAGGACGCGTATCCGATGACGCTATTGTTCCATGGGAATGGATGACGTTATTAAAATTCAATATTATAGATAATGTATTATGACGCACATACGGCTTTTAAAATTATGGTAATTTGTTTTTTTAGTTGAGTTTTTTGAGGCAATATTATAAGAAGACGTGTGCAGCACCAGAGGTTGTGTTGGAATGTCTATAGGTACGAGTATATGTTTTAACGTAAAGTAGTCGAAAACATTTGGCCATAATCTTATCATATGTTAAGCAAAGATGTGGCGAACTAACTATGTTACGAGTTCAAATTGTAGCCTTGAGATTTTTTATTAATGAGTTGTCATTTGAGAGGTAAGAGGTGCCTTAAACGTCGCTATAATAAAGAAAGAAGGCGAAACTCACTAAACGAAATGTGAACGAACTACATATGATTTTGAATTTTAATTTAGCATAGAAAAGAGCCTAAACCTGATTGTACCTTCTTGTCGCTGAGGTTGAGAGTGGGAATATGCATTTTCCTGGAGAACGACTTGGTCCAGTCGATTGGTAGGATGTTGCCGAAGTTGCCAGTGATGGTCCACCACATTCTGAAACAATACAAAGAACTGTGTTATTTTTGCAAAAATACATTATACAGTTTTATTCAATGTTCAATTTTACTAGTTTCACGATATCGATCCTTCTACTGCGCTGTACTAACAACATTTTCTGAAAATATGATCAATTGCCTAAAGCAGCGGCCAGTATCTACTATCGACATCATTCCAATAAAAGGTACTCAAATTACCTACAAGATTAGAAGCAGCTTTAACCAGTCGTTAGACGGCAACTTTTATAAACCCAAACCCATAATTCAGTAGATAATGTCATTGAGTGCTATAAAGTGCCGCCGCTCCGTAGAACCGAACGGTCAGTTCGTTTTACTCTTGTTGCACATGAGTACACTTTTCGAAAGAAGATTATAGTTAAGCCGAAATGCTTTATCGAGATTTGTGTTCGTATTTTTTATACATCACAGTTTAAAACAAATAAATGCATAAAAAGTTTACTAAAACTTTATATGCATTTATTTGGCACAATAATAAAACAAGCTCCTTGACATAAACAACGAATCAACAAATTTATTTATTGTTGATACTGCCTAAAATTCTGTCTAGTTTTTATTATTAATCATTCTTAATTTTATTTTAATAATGTAGAGTTTTATTATTATTATATTTTAGTATTTATATTAATTTTATTTTAATGATGGCGCTAGTAAAGTAAGGACATAGTGCCCTCAGAGTGTTGCAGTGCCCCCACGGGGTGTTACATATCAAGTGCCATTAGCATAAGAACACCGGTTATGTAACCATGTAACTTGCAAATAATATGAATATATATTATTACATTCCAAAAAAAAACGCTTGCGCTTTGGTAACGTTCCAGATTTTAAAAATGTCAATTTTGCTTAACAGTATAACAGAAACTGAATAATATACAAGAAGCCGCTTATAGGGTATAGATCTCGTTTCGTTGAAAAAGGGGCTTGAGTTACAATTGCAAAATTTTACAGAAGACGAGGCAAAAGTTTTATTTGTTTGTTCTTAGGGCTAGTGTGCACATTTAAAGAACTCTTGAATTGGCTATTTAAGCATTTCTACCTTTTTTTATGAAAAAATGAATGAGATGTTTCTGTTTTTGCGTATAAATTTCATTACAAAATATTTTTCACTTTTTTGTAGTTAAGTCACCATAGGTGCGACACGTTAATAACTCAATTTCGCTAAGAATGTCGATCTCTGTGGCCCAACCTACTCGTAGGTTAGCATGTGATGCGGTCGTCTCGGGTTCAATTTCCGTTAGAAACAATTTAGGAAACTAACTTTCTAAATTGGTTCTGGTGTAGTGTACTGCGTAATGCCCTGAAGTTAATTTCGTTGCTCTGGCACTTCTAGATTAAGTAAATAGAGTAATTATTAAAAGTAGAGCAATAGAGCTCCTTGTGAAAAAGTTTGTTCAGGCATGTACTGCTGCGTTCCGATTTGGAAGGGTATCGGTGCTGGTGAAATTATACACGCGACTTGTTAACTTATGTCTCAGGGTGACGGGCGCAGTGGCAGTGCCTCTAAGATCTTAGCAATTTAATGTTCGGAGTGCACTGCGGCTGTCATGGACAGGCGTGTCACTTACCGCCAGGCGCACGATTTGTTCGTCCTGTCACTTGGTATTATGTAAAAAATATAGTATAGGTAATAGTAAAAAATAAATTAAACGAAGTACGTAATAAAACCACAAACTTATGTAGTCATTCAGCGACCATTACATATAGAACCACATGTTATTATGTACATTAATAATTAGTATGTAAGCACATAATCTCATACATATATCTAGGCTACTATAAGCTACAATAGTTTTAAACTGCATAAAATACCAGATTAGTTGTACAAACGTTCAGTTCAGTGGAGCACAAAGTCATGGCGCAGGGGCTCTCCGGCTCTCCGACCTTGCGGCAAATTGCCTGACGCAATGGTCTTCCCGCCGCGATGAGAACCGGGACCGTAGGGAATTAGGCACCTACACTAGCTTCGCAGTATGTTCGTATGATTTTCTACTTTGTATGAGTAATTCTCTTGGATAATCTCCATGCAATTTAAGTGTTTAAATTGTCTACTACAAAAAAGCTTTGTCATCTAAGACATAAGGATAGTAATATAATGTAATATGCTAAACAACCACATCAATTATCTGCAATTTTCTGTACAATTTACAAAAATTCGTGTCTCAATTTTGTCTTTACGGGAATTGAACTTAAGATCTCTTCACCTCGCGTCCACAGTGCAAACCGGTGTGCCAAAAAGGTTGTCATAACAACAATGTTAGAAATACATTTTGACGCTTATACCACGAACCGTAATTGGATGTATGACGATAAAACTTTTACATTTTGTTTAAACAACTGACAAGTTAGGAAAATTAACCGAAGATCGTATAATGGTCACGAAGAACCACTGTAATCGTAGGCATTAATTCGAGTGCGGTGTATGTGTCATTAAATAATTTTTACTCGGGTCTATGCTGTACAATAATTGTGTTCATAGAGATATAAAAATGTTATAGTTCTGTTGTGTAAATAGTTTCATAATGGCATTTTATTATCAGAGCAGAGGACTTAATTCTGAGGCTACAACTCTGAATGATAGTCCTAAAACATTTTAAAATTGACCTACCTTTATATGTGCACTAAAATGACTGCGGCCATATATTTTGGTCGGTTACTGCAGATTTGTTATTTAAAAAAATCTTGCATACTTTAAGGAATGAATCACATATGAGGCCTGAGAGAAACATGAACAACATATTATTATATTGCAAACATAGTACACACGCCAGCACATCAAGCTACACATTGACGTATCTTGTTCCGTTGCACTGGAGGCGATTTTCGAACAAAAATGTGTAGTTTGATGTGCCGTTGTCCGTACATAAACATATTTATTTACCCTTCACAATAACATATTTATGACTGCGCTGCTCGCAAAACTCATCATATCAGCATACTCGTACATAGCTTTGCATAAATATTAATATACAACATTTATTACATAAGTCTACACGTATATCTACTAAGTAATGTAGGCTTTTTGTACTAATACGACGATTTAAGCCATCTTATCCATCTAACAGTACTAGTAGAGCTCCGTGTGAAAGAGTTCGTCTAGGGAGGTACTGCCATTTTACCTATTCCTGCCGCCAAGCAGTAATGTGAGCATTACTGCGTTCCGGTTTAGAAGGGTAAAGGTGCTGGTGAAATTACAGGCACAAGAGTTTTGCCAACTTATGGCTCAACGTGACGGGCGTAGTGGCAGTGTCCATCAGATCTTTGTAATTTGAAGCACTCAGTGGCACTGCAGCTGTTGTGGACAGGCGTGTCGCTCACCACCAGGCGCACGACTTGCTCGCCCAGTAACTTGGTATCATAAAAAAAACAAGAGTAGACCTGTGTCCGTTAGTGGACCTTATAACGATTTCGTACCAACGTAATATACGTATTATAAAGTTACCAGGAGTTCATAAAATGCGCATGAGTCAGACGGAGACGTAAATTGGCGCTAATTCGAGATCGCCGTCACTCCAGCGCTCAATTGAGGCGTGTGTCACTCCGCGTTATGAGGTATTTGGTTTGTAGCGAGATGACTATGCTACCAGTGCACGAACACATGTGAATCAGATGCTATGGGTATTATCTCGTGGTGCAGGAACCACGCAAATCAGATTCGTTCCTACGTATGTTTTATGTAGAGATTGAACATTCTGAGCGTAAATAATCGCAGAAGTTCATTTGTGGTGTTTACAAGAAACAAGCAAAGTTCTTGACATGCGCCAATCGAGCTACACGCACAATCACTCGCCTCCGTTGTGAATAACTCGGGCTATATCATATGGTCAACATATTTGGGCATGTGACCTACTTTACAACATTTGTGAGACGTTTTCGATTGACATTTGGTTTTTTGCTGTTTAAAATTTGTTTAACATTACGGCGTGTTGAAAAATATGCGACTTAGATCCAAAAAAAAGCTATTCTTATTTCCTGTATGTAACAATCTCGAAAACCTAAAAACTCTAACATAAGTTAAAGTAGTCATTATCCACTGCTAATGAAGTTTCCTCTATATATGTAGATATCCAATTGCGATTTCCTTGACATTGCGGAAAGTCGAAACTGTGTTACTTTCCACCTTGTGGTAGGGCACTTTTGTGGTTAATTAATTGCTAAAGTATCTCGTGTAAAACGAAACTTTGTATCAGAATTTTGTAGCATACAGTGTCGTCGTCCTCAACAAAGCGAAATAGCGTTAATAATCTAAACAGCAGAGGTCTGGTGAGGTCGGCCGCGTTGCATCACATCACTTTGTGTGCCATATGGCGATGAAGTGACTCGACGACAAACACGCGAACCTGACGTCCTAAGAGACACGTAGTTTTTTTTAAAAACGTTTTTAAATCGTTGTTGCGTATAGTAAGCCGCAAAAGGAGTTTTAGGTTTTGTCAAGTATTCTAAATGGAAATGCATGACTTTTCAATGATGTTCGATGCTAGCACTTATTTATATGATGTACTGAGTTCTGAGAATCTAAATAGTCATTGATTGAATGGAAGTATGTATGCAATTTTGTAGCCTACATTGAAAGTTGTATCGTGGGTATGATGATTTCTTAATCGACTTCAAAAAAAGGAGGAGGGTGACCATTCAACTGTTTTTTTTTTGTATGTATATTACGCGATAATTATTCTTTTTGAAAACCGATGATTTTTCTTGTATTGTTGAAAAGATACCTTACTATTGGTCCCATTTAAATTGGAAGAAAATATTTCACCTCTAAGGGTGGCACAGTTGGGGATGAATCCGATTTCGCGGACTTTCCGGTAATCGATTTCAATAAAACTTGGCAAATAGATGTAATTCCACGTACTTTTGAGGTCGGTTTTTTAGTGTGCAAAGTGACATTTTATATAGTTTCCAATACAGAATGTTCTGCCCACACATATTTCAAAGATTCGAAGACCAAAACGGGATATGGTCGAAGAAAGTTGCAAGACA